CAGTGGTAGAGCGCTTGCCTTGCATGCATGAGGCCCTGGGTTCGATTCCTCAGCACCACATAAGCAAAAGAGAAAAAAAGCCAGAAGTGGTGCTGTGGCTCAAGTGGTAGAGTGCTAGCCTTGAGCTGAAGAGCTGAGGGACAGCGCCCAGGCCCAGAGTTCAGGCCCCACGACCGGACCCCCCCTCCCCCAAAAAAAGACTCTTACCTCCAATTAATCACCACAAAACCGGAAGTAGAGCTATGGCTCAAAGTAATAGAGTGCTAGCCTTGAGCAAAAGAGCTCAGGGTCAATACCCAGGGCCCGAGTACAAGCCCCACAACTGCAAAAAAAAAACAGAAAGAAATCCTATAAGAGCTAAGCGCCAGTGGCTCACATCTATAATCCTGGCTAATCAAGAGGCTGAGATTCAGAAGACTGAGGTTCAAATGCCAGCCTAGGCAAAAATGTCCTGAGATACTATTTTCCAAAATCATCAGCAAAAAAAGCCAGGCTGAAGTTACAGCCCAAGTGGTAGAGTGCTTATTGATCAAACCGGAGGCCATAACTTCAAATCCCACCCAAAAAAAAAATCCTTAAGACTAAATTAAATAAAAATAAAAGGCTTGAAGTGAGTAATCAGCTAACTAGCCTCCAAATATAACCAAGACCTGCCTCCAAAAATTTCATGATGTATTAAACTTTCTGAGATTGTACCTTGAAGTTTCTTTCATCACATAAAATCTTTCTTTCATCTTTCATCACATAAAACCAATTTTTTCTAATTGCCATTTACACTTCTGTCTTAGGATGTGTAGCAGGATGCTGACAGAGATAGGCTGTAATCTTGAACTTATCACTGCTGTCTGGGACCACTCACTGCAAAACTGCCTGTCATATGTAAGGAGGCCCTGGGTAGCAATCATGAGGAGGCAGGTTATATAATATTTACATTGTATAATAAATATATTTTATTTTATATTTGGCTTCCAGCTATTCCTGATTGGAGGGACTGCTTTGGTGGCTCTGTTGTCAAAATATTCCAGGGATGCCCATCTGTGTGCCCACAGCAGGGTCTCAGTGTGCAGAGGCCATAGGATATCTTCTCAGATACTGCCAGATGCTCTGGTTGCTGGGCACTCTGCTTGGCAGGAAGTTACCATGGCAACACACCCTCACACACATACACCCATACTTCTGAGAGTTTTTTGCATTTCCATTTTTCCAATAAACACCAAGGTATTCTAGGGACAGACAAGCATAGCTCTGAGGACGGAATGTCCTCTGTTCCAGGAAGGGTGGCAGGGAACACAGGAAGCAGAGGTGTGTGTAAATTGTGTCTGAACCTTCATGCAGTAAGTGCATTTGTTGTAATACTTCTGAGTTATAATTTGAGCACTTGGTTATGTGTCAGTGCATATATTGTACCAAGGGGTGGATCACATGTTACCCATCTATTTGCTCTCCTGCCATCCTTCCATTCTTCCCCCATGCCCATGTTGGAAGAGTGGCCTCCATTTTCTGCAGGTGGGGAGGTGCTGAGTCATGGCTCCAGTTGTGTTTCTGTCTCCAGGCCTCCATCTCCTTGCTTTCCTCAATGTGTCCAGAACTGCAGAAGTGGGGAACCACAGCCTGGAACCATATAAGGCCTCTAAATCATTTGGTCTGACCCTGTCAAAGCAACTGAAGACAGGGCTCAAAATTCAATAAACCAGGTGACATTGTCCAAAAAGAAGTGGACTCATTACCTGGTTTATGAAACAGTAACCCTCCTGTACATTACCTTTATATTTTTTTTTGAAAAGACTAAAATCTTCAATAAATCTAGGAGCTTTTATTTTCCCAAATGAAGTCAGTAGATCTGGCCCCAAGATGATGTAAATATCCCAAATGACTCTTAGCAGAACAAAGGCTTAGCACCCCTGCTACCCCTTTAGTCCCTCCTCACTGCTATACTACCACCCTGGACTCACTTTCCTCAATCCACTCACCGGCAGTCAAGAGAAGGCATGACTCATTATCCCTTTGCCTTCTCCGAAGACAGTTCTGGGCCGTTCTTTCCACTGCCCCCCTCCCAGAAAAAAACGAGATGAAACTTTACCCTGGAGGCTAAATCTTCCATCTACTCCTGTTGATCCTTTTCCAGCTTCTCTCCATTAATAAGATTACAACGGTGTCTCAGCTTGGGGTACATGGTAAAAGAAAGTGACAGTACTCACTGAAGCTTTTTTCACCCCCTCATTTAATGCCAGACCACAGGTTCCTGGAGGTGCACTCATGCACGTGCGGTGTGTTTGTGTGTGTGGTGTGTTTGTACACACATGTGTAAAAAAAGGAAAGGTGCCAGGTCTATGAGTTGGGGGGAGTATCCAGGGTCCTCCCAAAAGGATGTTTGGGGATTTCTGTAGGCTCTCTGGTCTTTAGTTTCCCCTAATTCAGAAATTCCAATCAAGTAGTCCCACTGATTAGTTCAAAAGGGAACCAGGATTGTTTCTTAGGCAGAGGTTAGAGTAGAGAGAAGGCCCCGCCCTCGCAGTCTGGTTACCTTGGCGACAGCCGCGTAGTGAGCCAACTGCTCCTCCTTTCCTCCCTCCTCCCAAACCCAAAGAGATGACGGCACCGCGCTGACTGCGCCAAATTCCAGCCAATGGGAGGCTGCTCCCGCCTCCCTTTCCGCCAGCTCTCCCCCCCTCCCCCCGGGAACTCAATTCACAAATCTGGACTGTGGATTTCCGGCTCCAGGCAGGGTGCTTAGGACCTGGGCCCAGGCCCTAGGAGTAAAAGCAGGAGGCGACGTTCCTGGGTTCTTGGGCCAAGACTTCTGTAACTCGACACCACAAAAGCGCACACCCTATTCCTAAATTATCCAGAAGACCTAGTTGAGACCGAGTCCCAACGCTTCCTGTGGTACATCCCTCACCCTAGCCGAGTGCTCTCAGCACCACGGACAGCGAGCTAGAGGCCTCGCCTGCTGGGGGCTTCTGGAGTCTTCCACGGCCACATAGGCGTCCAGGGTCGGACCCTCAAGCACTCCACCCGCAAGCCCGGCCTCCTTGGGCCAACGTAATAGTGAACGAGGCGCTTAGCTCTGTAGCTGAGATGGCAGTGGGCACTGAGCAGAGATCTTAGGCCATATTCCTCGCCTTTTCCCTCTTGAACTCCAATTAATAGCTTTCTTTCCCCCATTTTGTTTCTGTCTGTACCTGCTCCTCCCCAGAAATAAAGGGATAGGGTCTGAGTGTCTTAAAAGGAATGGGCCTTACAAGATTCCCCGGGAGAGAGGGAGGGTTGGTCACGGCGGTGGGGGGGGGGGGGGGAGGACAGGTTAAGAGGGAAAGGGCAAGTGTGGTAAATCAGGCCGCACCTTGAGACTGGTAAACATAGACTTAGGTCTGACGAAAACTCCTGACCCAATATGTGACAAGAGAACAGTGCAGAAAAATGGTGATAGCTATTTCTGATTGCTAGTTCTGTCTCAACGGGTCACCTCGTAGAATGGGAACATCTTCTGCTGTCCTTACCACTTGTCCTTAAGTAGCCCGGGCATTAATAAGGCGCTAGGTCTAACAAGATGGAGGCTGGGGTGGTGGGGTGGATTCAGCCTTTGGTTACCTCACTTTACTCTGTTAAAAGTCAATGGGGGTGAGAAGAGGTAGCAGCTCCCTCAGGGGACTTAACCTCCCTCACTAGACCTCTGTTTCTTGCTTCCATGCTCTATCCCATATCACTTTACTCCCGCTCCCGTTCCGTTCCACCCAGGACCCCAAAGAAAGGCCGGCGCAAAACCATCTGCAGGCGCTTTCTGCGCTTTATAGTTCTCTTCAGGACGGACAGAGACGGTGCGGCCCGCGCTGTCGGCCCGCATCATTGGCACCTTGGACACGGCCCCAGGCCCGACCCAGTCCCTGGTACTCTCCCGGAAGGATTCAGGGCCGCCCCAACTCAGCACCTCGGACAGTTCCCGGCCCAACCTTCCCCCACCCCCACCCCCCTCCCTTCGGAAACAGCAGAAATAAATTAAAAGGGGTGAGAGAATATGAAATCTAAGGAAGAGGGGACCTCTCCCCGACAATAAGAAGGGTTTTCTTCCTCTTTCCACCAGTCCACAGTGGGTACCGCCGCCGGGATGATCTCCCAGATTGATTGTGCCCCCAAATCTCAGCCTCTTGAATGAAGCCGGCAGCCCATTTCCCCCTCCATCTCCCAGCATGCAACACGTTGGAAAAAGTGGGGAGAGGCTGTGTGGAGGCGGGCGGGGGGCGGAGGGGACGAGGGACCATCCTGGAGGTTGTCTGGGCACCTGGGACTGAAGCTCCTCAGTCCATCCAAATGAAAAACGAAGGGTCCATTGGATCTGGGGAAGTGGGTATGGGGTCTCGGGAGAAGAAATGCAGGATGACCGAAGCAGAGGGGAAAGGCAGACAGAAGGAAAGGATGGTGACACATGACAGGAGCAAGGGAGAAGAGAAGGGAGGAAAGGGGCACAGGTGCAGGGGCGACTGGGTAGTCAGGTTCAGGGCGAGGTGATGATAGGACTCTCTCTCTCTCTCTCTCTCTCTCAAGGAATGTTCAATAGCAAGGCAGATTACGAAATGGAAATGCAGACAGGAGGAAAAAATGAAGGTACAGAAAGGAGGAGGAGGAGAGAGGAAGCGGACAGGATCCAGGGGAGATGGATTTACAGACGTGCACAGCCGAGAAAGGGGAGAGTGGGGCAAAAATGGAGAGATGAGGGCGCAGACAGACCGAAAGGGTGCAGTTGGGGCTGCCCTTCCCACCCACAGCCCCACCCCCATCCCCACCCCACACCCAGTAAATCCAAACACCGCTGGCCTCTGGTGTCCTAGCCTCCACCCTCCCCTGCGGGGCAGGGGCGGCTCCTCCTAGGCCCAGCCTGGGCGCGGAGCGGTGGTTAACAGCAGCGGTGGTTTGATGGTCCCGGAGGGGTTCCGGGTGTGTATGGGGGGCGGGGGTTGGGGGAGAGGGCTGGGGCGGGGATCGGGCGCGGCCCCCCGGTACCCTTAGCGGTCCAGGTTCATAGTCCAGTGCTTGGCTCCCGCCGCGCAGCTGTCCCTGGCGGCCGAGGAGGAGGTGGCGGGCGCGCCCCCGCTTGGTGGACCCCCGTTGCCCGCGGCGGCCTCGCCCTCGTTCTTGAGGTCTTGAAAGACTTGGGTGAAGAAGTGGGGGTCGGCGTTGAGCCGGAGCATCTGCGGGCTGAGCCTCTGGATGAGGCGCAGACACCGTTGCCAGAAGCGCTCCTTGTCGGGCTCCACGAGGAAGGGCTTGAGCGGGTAGGAGATCTCGTTGCCCATGTAGGAGTAGGCGAGGTAGAGGCAGGTGAGGAAGGCGGCCTGCAGCTCGGCGGCCGACGCCAGCTCGTCCCCGCGCAGCGACTCGCGGCACAGCAGGTACACGAACACCAGGTTGGCGGGCGTAATGAAGGCCTGGTCTTGCCAGCCCTGCAGCAGGAGCGAGCGGTCCACGCCGCGGAACCAGCCCACCAGCTCGCCGGGGCTCAGCTCTTTGAGGCGGTAGCAGCGTCGGCACACGAAGTCGCCCAGGCAGCGCAGCAGCTCGCCGGTGGACGCCTGCACGATGACCCGCCGCGGCGAGCCGCCAGGCACTGGGGGCGCCGCCTGCGGGGCTGGGGGCGGCGGCGGCGGCGGCTTCCCCCCGCCGGAGCCTGGCGGCGGGGCGGCAGCGCTGCCCGCGGACGGCGCTTCGCCGGCGGCGGCGGCGGCGGCGGCGGCGGCGGCGGCAGCGGCGGCGGCCGCCGCGGGTACGGTGGGTACCGGCACAGCCAGCGGCTTGGCCGCGCCGCCGCCGTCGGGGGGGTCCCGGCCCTTGCGGAGAAGGTTCTCGCGGTTGCGCTGCTGGACGAGAGGGTCGGGACCCGTGGACGCTGGCTTGGGCGTCACCTTCTTGCTGCCTTTCTTCTTCTTGGCCGAGGCGGCCACCAGGCGCTTCCAGGTGAGCGCCGAGATGAGCACGGACGGCCGCTTGAGCCGACTCTCGCCTTTGCCGCCTTTGCCGGCGGGCGGCGCCCCGTAGCCCCCCAGCGCCTCGTCCCCCGCGGGCGGCGCCTTCTTCTTCTCCTCCGGCAGCCCGCCCGGCCTCCGGCCCTTGGCCGAGGAGGCGGGGGAAAGCGACAGCACCGTGCCCATCCTGCAGAGCGGGGCCGGCGCCCGGGCCCCGGCGGGAACCGCGGGCGGCGCCGCTGCTGCTGCAGCCCCGGGGGACCCGGCGGTGGGGGGCCCTGGCCCCGGCCCGGTCGCGCGGGCCGGCTGGGGAAGGAGCTGCCTGGCTACTCGGCGGCGGCGGCTCCGAGTCTGAGCTGCGCCAGCTGCAGCGTCAGCCCCACCCCTTGGGCCCCTTCTTTCGCGGCGCCGCGCCGCGCCCCGCCTCACGCAGCCAATCCTCGCGCAAGCTGTCTTTTTGACCGGCGGCTCTTCGAACCAATAGGATCTCGCGTGCAATATCGCGTCCCGCCTTATCCATCACCCTGAGTCTGGGGTCCTTTCCCCGAAAACCCGAATGGGGAAACCAGGGAAGATGGCGGTGGTTCGAGGGTCGCTGTCAGAGTCAGGGTCATGGGTACGGGGGGGGGGGGGGGGCTGCTCTCACACACCCCCAGGGCTGTGGGTCAGCTTGTTTTGTTGCACCGGGTGGCGGTAAGCAGGTTGTATAGAAGCCATGGGGAAAGCCACTCAGTTTGTTTAGGGGGGCAACATGGTAGTAAGTGACCTCTTCTAGCTGGTCCAGTCCCAGCTGGGTTTCACAGTACTGGCTCTTCCAATCCCCTTTCCTCACCACTTTATGGAGGTTTGCTGCAGCTTTTTTTTTTTAATGCTACAGTCCCTCACTATGTATTCCAGACTGGCTGGGAACGCTCTCTCCTGTCAATACCAAGATTACAAGCAGGTGCTGCTGGGTGGCTTTACCTGTGAGAAGATGCTGGCAGCTGACACTTCCTGCCGGTGAAAGCATTCCTCCTTTGCAGGGGGGGGGGCAGGCGGGGGGGGGGGGGACTGAGATGGGCTTCAAAGTGAGGGAAGCAAGATCCTCAGAATATGTTGTTTATGCCTCTAATTGCCGGCCTGGTTTTCTGCAGGGGAGCCTATGGCTTTGGCCCCTGGACGGCACCATTTGGTTGGTTGTTCCCACCAACATACACTGATCTCACACTTGGGTGGATGATGGATTAGTCTTTGGGGGAAATACTGGAAATTGTAACAGTTGGTCTCTTCAAGCTAGACAGTGAACAGGGCCTTCAATGTGGAAGGAGCCCCATGAGGATTGGCGCAACCTCCCATCCAGACCTAGATCCAACTTGACCTAGGGCCTAGCAAGTTGCTAGGCTGAGTTCTATTTATCTCGGGATCTGGCTGTTTCCTCATCAGTGTCCACAAGGCCTTGGAGTTTGGACTCTCTGAACTTTACCTGCAGGCCCTTGTTCTGGGTTTTTTTTTGGCAGAGAAAGAGAGAGAGAAGAAGACAGACAGTAGTGGCGCTTGGGCTCGGCCTTGCACTCTCGCTTGGCTTTTTCACTCAGCGCTCAAGCACTCTACTGCGTGAGCCGTACTTCCACCTCCCTGACCACTACTGGTCTGGGCCTGTTCTGTTTGCTTTATCCACCCTTCATGAATGCCTTAATGAGTGATCGTGGCCTGCTATCTTTGGCTTCCCAACACAGAACTCTTCCAATTTCTTAGGTCGATATTGCAGGTGAGTATGGTTTTTATACCATCTCATATGGAGGAGCAAGAAGACCAGTAAAAACCTCAGAATTTTCTTCATCTCTTCATAGACCCTACACTGTTCCAGGGATATACTCCTATTGGGATCGGTGTGTGTGTGTGTGTGTGTGTGTGTGTGTGTTCATTCCAAATAGACTATTCTAGAATTCCCTTGGGTTGCAGCTCTGGCCCCTAGAGGCTCCAGCTTTTCTCAGCAGTCTCTCAGCACCCACCCCACCCCCTCACACTCTCCTGGAAGCCTGTAGTCTGGTTGTCTTGATTTCTCACTCCTTTACCACACAGAGACTTATGCTTCCTGCCCAATGTGCATTTTCTCAGTAGGGTCCCTTCTCTTGCCTCCAAGGGTCTGATGTTTTTTCTCTTGTTGCTCAAGCTGACCTGGCCAACCTCCAGTTCTCCCCCTTGAAGTTGCAGGGAAATGTTCCCTCTTTTCAGCTCCTGTAATTGGCCCTACTTCCTCCTACAAGCCCTTCTGAGTCAGCCTTTATTTGACACTCAAGGAACAGTGGCTCACCGGTAGTTAAGGACAGGCCCCACAGAGACTGAGTTGTGCTGGTGGAAACACTGGGCACGTGGATCTGGATGGCACGTGGGTCCTCCCAGCTCTGCTCCCAGGAGTCTCTCATTGACGTAAGGCCTATTGCTGGTGTCATCTAGGACAAGTGCTCTGCAACACTCACAGGTGTCACCACTGCAGACACAGCTGTGGCCTGTCATCCTCTTGGTCAGAATAAAGCATTTTCTTCTGTGCTTCAGGATCCCCAAGCCACCCACATGGGGGTCTCATTCCCCCTCCACCATATCCTCAGACCTCTTCCTGGCTCACTTGTTTCCCTCCTTTGGCTTCTAGGAACCCCTCCTGCATCTCTGAGGGTTACCATAGGCTAGAACTCACCCCTCAGAACATCACCTTGTATTCTGTTAGCTCTTGAAATCCCACCTCCTCCAGGAAACCTTTCTGGACTGATAGGAGAGCCTGAAGCTTTCTCTGACTTCAGGCTTTCTAGTTTTTTTCCACTCTGGTAACTTGGATGAGAGTTAGGCTCTGGGTCCCAATCCCAGAATGTTCAAGATGAGCATAGATAGAAGTTTAAAGCCAAAGTAATCAAAACAGATCCATAAAGAGGGACAGTGTTGCTGTTATATATAAGCTAGAGGCACTAAGGGGTAGAGGGAGAAGAAGGATGTGTTTCTTTTTTGTTGGTTGGTTGTGGGGCCTGAACTCCGGGCCTGGGCGCACTGTCCCTCAGCTCTTCAGCTCAAGGCTAGTGCTCTACCACTTGAGCTATAATGCCACTTCTGGCTTTTTCTGCTTATGTGGTACTGAGGAATCGAACCCAGGGCCTCATGCATGCAAGGCAAGCACTCTACCACTGAGCCACCTTCCCATGCCAGAAGGCTATGTTTCTACAGTGTAGAGGCCACAGGGGATAAGAGTAGTGGAACCAAGAGTGGGTGGGTTTTACAGAAGGGCAATGACTTCCTCACCACCTTGAGGAAGCCATTTCAGTCCTCTGAGCTTCTGTTTCTGGTTGGGCTATGTGCAGAGTCTGTATTTTATTGTTGCCCTGTCTATATTCATGTCTGGATGTTGCTTCTGATCTGGCCATTTCCCCTGTGCTCCTCTGGGACAGTGCTGGCTGTACCCAACTGCCATAGATGGAAACCCCCTGAGGCCAGGCTTCCTGTCTTTGTCCATCACTCTTCAAGTTACCTCAAACAACACTCTATACAGATAACTAGTTATTCTTGAAGCTTCTTCCAGGCCAAACTGTACACCCATACCCAGAGCTCTAGGACACAGACTGAGCTTTTAGCTGGGCAGGATTGTGGGCTCAATGATGAGAGTTACTGTCAATTTTACATTGGAGGAGCTTGTCACTCACCTACCTGGGCAGATGAACCCCATCTTTAAGGGGCTGTCTCCAGGTAATGCAGCCCAGAATCTCCCACCTTTTGGTTGTTCATGATTCCCTCTGAGAGATGACGTAGTCTAGGAAGCAGGAGTTCTATCTACAGCTAGCTGGTTGGATGACCTTGAGAACATCATTTCAGCTCTGTGAGCCTCTGTTTGTTCATGTTGAAATGCAAGGATTCTACATATTTTACTTTTATTATCAGCTAAAAAATGAGCATTAAAAGAATATGATAACATTTTTAGGAATTGCACTGAAGAGGATTCTGGAGGCCTCTACCAGTTCTATAGATCTGATTCCAAATCAAATCTGCCTAGGAATCTGTCTCAGTCTCTAGCTCCAGCCCTGTCTGGTTCTCCCTAATCTGTTTCTGTCTGACAAGCTCAGTCTGTTTGCACAGCATCCATGTGAGGCCTGCACTTCTGCAGTTCAGCCTGTGAGGCAAGAGGGAGGCGAGCTTGGCTCTAAGCAATGTAAATGTCCCTAAGTCCCTCCAAGCCTAAGAGGAACCGTTAGAAGGTAGGGAGGCACAAGAAAGGAGGCCAAAGAGGCCAGGAAGTCTAAAGTCCAGGGCTCCCCAAGAGACATCAAAGTTACAGATCTTAGATCCCAAGGTCATTGTATCCCCATTGCATCCAGACCAAGAGCAGCAAAGGTTCTTAAAACAGCCAGAATTGAGAATATTGGGCATTGGAATGTCTAGATCCTTCACACACACACACACACAACTTCCTCACAATACAACACCCCCACCTCAAGCTCTCAGTTCCTGAGGTGTGCAAAGAGGGAGGCTATGTACCACCCCTGCCCTCCCCCTGCACCTGAGAATCTTAGAGCAGGAGAGCTGGGGTGGGAAGGAGGGAGTGCTTAGGGAGATGGTGGAGGGGAGCAGAACCCCTTCCCAGGTAACAGAGGAGTGTGGAGAGAGGGTAAGCACAGAAAAGCGATGAAGCTGACAATGGAGGAGCTGCTGGCTGCTAAGAAGGAGACCCTCTACTTCTTTCCCTAATAGACTCCTTGCTAGAAGGCCTTGAGGGATCCAAATACAGGTTCTTTAGGACAGAGAATACAGTTGGGAACTCAGAAGAGGAATGTGCTCTCCTGGAGTGGAGACAAAGAACCAATGCTATGAGGGTAGAGGACCCAGAATGAAGGGACAGAAAAGAACTGAAGTAAGCTGGGAGCCAGCAGCTCATGCCTTATAATCCTAGCTACTCAGGAGGCTGAGGTTTGAGGATCATAGTTCAAATGCAGCCCCAGCAGGAAAAGTCCAAGAAATTCCGGTCGTGGGGCCTGAACTCTGGGCCTGGGCGCTGTCCCTCAGCTCTTCAGCTCAAGGCTAGCACTCTACCACTTGAGCCACAGTGCCACTTCCGGCTTTTTTGCTTATGTGGTGCTGAGGAATCGAACCCAGGGCCTCATGCATGCAAGGCAAGCGCTCTACCACTGAGCCACCTTCCCAGCCCCAAGAAATTCTTAACTCCAATTAAC